CTTCTTCCTCCTCCTCTTCCTTTTCCCGCTCTGATATTCTCTACGCAGACAGGCGCTTTTATGGATGAGCTAAAAATATTAGACTAATGAAATTTGGAAACTTTCGTTTTGCCATCAGAAACCAATATTAATAGTTACTTATCGCAAAACGTAGTCCATTTTATGAATAAGGAATTCCTCCAGAAAGTCACTGACTCGTGCGTTGCTCGCGTGCGCTCAGTTTGTGATCCAGAAGACCACCAATCTGTGTCAGCAGCTTTCAGATGGAATTCTGAACAAAATTTTGTCTCATGAGTGACTATATAACATAAAAGTTCAGCGTGAATATTTTTTAAAAATCTCTTCAGTGTCATACTTATTGTAGGTACTTGAAAATTATCGTGGAATAAAACTTGTATGCGTATTGGGAATTTGCGCTTTATCATCTGCGAAATAAGTTCATGGAAAGGTTTATCCTACATAGTCTAACAATAAGCTTCAATTTGCCATAGAAGTTGGAGGTGAGCTTGATGAGCTGGTTCAGATTCCTCGAAAGCCAATATACGCCTCGCTTGTTAGTTCGGTTTTTTCTTCTCTTTTCTTCTTTTGTAAACTATTATTTTTTGAAGCAGGGATGAAATGCACCTGAAGGCTGCAGATAGCTCTCTAGAAGAACAAAAAATACTCGCTATTGCAGCTTCACAAGTTTCTCACGCGTGGAAAATTTCCCCTCTCCGCTGAAACGTGTCACGTTCGCGTTGAGCGAAACTATTCCAAAAACCAACGCCCGAGAATGTTTTTTATTTTTCGTTCTCGCAAAAAAAATTGGAAAAATTCATGCACGAGCTCATCATGAATCCTCTCATGCTACGTGTGAACATTTTCTGCACCCCTGTACCTACCACAAAGGCAGCAAGAAAAGAAAAAAAAAATATTAACCCGTTAATTATTAATATTGCAATGCCTGGAAACTGCTGGCGAATTCTAACAGGCTGTGTGAACTGGATTAGACAAGTTCGATACCATATTTCACACAGATTGTATGGGGCTTCGAGAAATCCAGTCCAGCTTGAACGGCTGTTAAAAATTAGTAGAATCACCTTTTACTCCTCCTCGATATAGTTTTCGCACAAAAGAAATAGGCCGTTGAGACTAAAGTTTTTCGTCTTTCAGTCTAGTCGCAGTGCTGCTTATTTTGGGATCCCTAGTAATAATTGGATATAAAAAGTTAAGCTTTCAAAAATCGATTCAACTTCTGATAATTTTCATTTTTATCATAGCACCTCCCCTCCCCCCTTCCCCTTGAAAACAACTTGAGTGCGTAAAAGCTAGGTAACTCCTCGTATGAATTGACACGAGCCTCTCTCGGGCTGCGATGTCACCCTGTTTTGGGGCATCGCATTACGAAAGAGAGAGTAAACGACGGTCTCGTTCCCAATCCACGTGACATTCATCGGCCCGCTATCAGACGCTCGGAGCCGGCCGTGGCGTTTGACGAATAATTAGAGTGACGACATGCAAACGTGATCGGCGTCCTGATAACTCCGATAAAATTCTGGACGATTAATCTCACCTCATCATTGCATCCAAGCCTCCAGGAGGTTTTTATCGCCCGAAGAGGTCATGCGCACCCTCTGATAGTGGGCGGGAGGGGTGCGCGCCGCGCCGTTCCATGCCTCGCACACCTTCCTTTAAGTATTCCCGATCAGGGTGTCTTTAAGTCCGGAATTTCCGGAAAGTCCGGAAATAGTACTGATTTTTTAAGGGCGGTCCGGACGTACTGAAAAAGTGCAGCCGCAAAAAGGTCCGGATTTTTTTTTTAATTTTTTGTCATTTTTGTCGCAATTTCAAATTTTTGAAATTTTTCGAATTTCGTCAAATGAGGTACTGAAAAAGTATGGAATTTTTCTGTTAGAGAAGGTACTGAATTTATTGACAAGGTATCGAAAAAGTACGTATTTTTGATCATCCTGTTTTAGTAGACACCCTGCCGATGCTTTTAAAACTTTCTGGTAGCTGTAGAGGACCCTGCTCCTTTTCCCAGCCTCTAGGGGCCTCCCCCCCCTTTTCCCCCGGTCACACAGTGAATCGAGTCTATCAGAGAGGTCGGACTTAACATTTTTAACTACCACTGAAAATTTTGATGCTTACTTCGTCACATTTTAAATTTTAAGGGGTGTTGCTGAAAGAAAATTTCACGAGGAAACCAATGGCACCACTTTTAAGACCTCAAATTTTTGTATGAATTGAGTTATAAGCTTTTAAAGTTTTCGGATTTCGTCCGACCTCTCTCATTTACTCGATCCACTGTGGGCCGTAAAGAAATCCGAGACAGTCGTAAGTTTAAAAAGACAGCTGGTTCCCACAGGAATCATGTATTACCCGCCGATAGCCGAGGTCACGCTGATCGGGTTGGTAAATCTGGAGATTTACCATATTGCTTCAAGTCAAGAATTGGTCATGATGGTGTTGCATGTTTCACGAGTTGCGGGACACTCAGGAAATGCCCATAAGTTTTTAGGTGGTAAATGAAAATTAGTACATTCCGGATTTTTTATTTTTTAATTTTCACTGTAGCATTTATCCGTTTTTTGGAGATCTCGCTGGCGCGAAAACTTACGAGGGGTAAACCACTCCTCCCACGTGTCAACCTTCATCCGTGGGCGGCGTGTGTAACTTGGCTACAGCACTCGGGAATCAAACCCCGAACCCCGTGAATCATTCTCCTTTCCTCTCTACCGCCCCCTCCCCCCATTAGCTTCAAGCTTTTCGTGATTTGGAAAGACTGTCGTGCCCATTCACATTATTTTGGCCAAGAATGAAGAACTGGAAAAAATCGATCCACTCGTACTTGGCTGTATCCGTGGTTCAGCATTGTGGTTTTTTCAATCCCCAGCTGCCTACTCAAGTGTCTTTTTCAGGGTGCTCACTGTTAGGCGCATGGCGCTCGGTGAAATAAAAACCATGATGTGGTCCTTATCAGTGTTCTGTCATCATGCCATCTCGTGTGCCATTTGATCATCAAGGTTAATTTTTAGGCTAAGGCACTTCCCCGAGTTTTTCTGTGCTTTGAAGCTTTTCGATAGCCAGACAGAAAATTTTGAAAGTTGCCAGGATGTAGTAAAAACCGGAGGTCTCAGCAATGTGCCTCGAATGGCCGGCGCTTTTCTTGGGCGCATTCCGGCGCTTTTCTTGGGCGCATTCCGGCGCTTTTCTGGTGAATGGGTCAGTTTTTGGCCCCAAAATCGTGTTTAGACATACCTTTAGTTTCGCAAAAGCCGTCCTTCGCCGAAGTACGTCCAATATCAACGGATACATCGCCCATCGGTAAACACGACAGTGACGTCATCCACCAAGGTACAGGGGGCGGCCAGGGGTGCAAGGATGCTTCAGCACTTTAGAAATTCTGACAAGTGGCTCAGGGGGCCCTCGGCATGGCAGGGTCCGGCCAGAGGCCCCCAAAACTTGAAAAACCCACATTAAGGGAGACTTTAGGTTAGTGAGGGGGGCCTTCACCCGAAAGGAGGGGACCCGAAAACGTAACAGCACCCCAATAAGTTTCGAGTCGGACCGACACTGGTGGTAAAGTGTAAAAAGTGTAAAATGTGGCTCCTTCCACCCTATGGTTTCATCCGTTTTTATGTCTAGTGACCAGTGCAAATGTGTGCATCACTGATGGTTGAAACCAAGGAACCATGGTGTGCACCATCCCGGTATATGACGTCATACACAGTTTTCTTTTTCAATGAGCGGTATCTCCGTCACTATTTGATGCAGAAACTTGGCGTTTGAAAAGATCTCTTTGTTTTTATTTTTGGTTAATCTGGAAGACTACCTTAAAAATCTAACTCAACGACCCAAGCGCAACTGATACATAGGCACCCAAACGGCTCGTAGAATTGAAAGACGAAAATTTCGAGGATTTCGATGGCAATCCCAATAGCGGTTCCAGAAAGTGAATCTGGTCCTCAGCGTTTGGGTAAGGAGCCTTTTGAAAAATCAAAAGTAAGATTGTGGCCCGATTCGGCAACGTGCGTTTCCGACGCGTCAGGATTGTGTCGCGCCGCGCTGCCCCAGCCGTGCCCCCCGCCCCCTCTCCGCTCCGCGCGCCCCCCGAATCCCCCACGGTTCCCCTGTGTCGCTCCGTCCCGAGTGTCTCGTCCACAGCTCAAGTTATCGAGTCACGGAATTTTATTCCCTCGTTCTGAGACTAAGATTGAAACCTCGCTTCTGCCTTTTTGCCGTTTCTAACCTCTTCCCGGCCACCTTACCCACTGTTTTCCCCAAAAGTTCGGGTTCCCCGCCCCCCCGTCGGTGCGTTTGAACCCCCGACTCCTTCTCAAAAGAAGTCCGTGTGTAGGCTCGTTGTGTACTTTTTTCCGCCGAATTCAAACACTCTGTCCTGTCGGCGGCGTCGGATAATTTTCCTCTCGATTTCCTCTGTTGTGCAGGTAAGAATACTCGTTTTGAGTGGGTGTTTACCGTGCGGCTGGATTCCTAAGAGGGCGTTTTCGAGTGGAGACCGCTATACTACCCCCCTCCCTCTCATCCATGTTTCAACCTTCAAAAATAGTATTATCTCCTCGTCTGGAAGCGGTTTTTTCCCTCCAAGTCTTTTTTATTTCATTTTCGCTTTACTTTCACGAGTGAGTTATTTTAGCCTTTCTGTTGTCAGTGAGCTTTACCATAATCACCTCTGTTCGGTGGTTTGAAATTTTTACATTTTCTGATTGTCACTTTTTAGTCAGTATATGCAACCTCGGCTTGAAAGACCCCCCGGTCTTGCTTTGTTTGTCAGGAAAAGCTCGTCTTTGCCCGAAATTTGTTTCAGAAAGTTCGGGGGTTGGACTTGAATTTGGTAGGATGTAGATTTTTTTTTACCACCCTCGTGCATTTCCGAAAGTTATTTTAAGTGTCATTTGAAAATTTTAAACCCTCACGAACCTGTACCTACGCTTTTTTGGTGTGTAGAAAAACTTGAATATCCCTAAGAATCCGTTTTCTTCTTCTGTTTTTTGCAGGTTGTTTTGTCAGCATGTTCATCGTACTTTCAAAAATTATTAATCGAAAACCCATGCAAGCATCCTACCATTATTATGCCTCAAGATGTGTGTTTCAATGACCTCAAGTTTATCATAGAGTTTGTATATCGTGGTGAAATTGACGTTTCTCAAGCAGAATTACAAGTGAGTACCTTTCATTCATGTGCCAAACCTTTCTCATCAGCTCTTAGTGACAAAAACCTCTCAAAGTGTATGTAGTAGGAACCTTCCTTGGGATTTTTCTAAAAAAATGGGTGTATATTATGATGCACTTTACCCTAAGTTTTTTCATCGCCTAACTTCTTCCCATACTTGGTATTTTCACAGAATAGCTAAACATCATCAAACTCTGAAACTCAGTAAATTTCCCCCGAGTCTGAAAATTTACTCCCAAAATTTCAAGGTTGAATGTTGCCTTGTTTTCTTGTTAAAAAAAATAGAACATGAAATTATTGAAGAATTAACTTAATAATTAAATGTACCCAGATGAGGAATGTTCATCAAAAAATTTAAAAAATGCTTTTTTAATCCAATGCTTATTCATTCCTTACTGCCTTAATCACCAAATTCTTCAAAATTGTCTTCCAAAGTCTCCATTTTCCCTTTATATTTTTATCAGGATTTAGAATATGTACACAAATCATCTATTTTCGATCATTGTCTATGATAGTCTTTTTGCTTTTTGCTGCAGTCCAAGATCAATTTTAAGGTAATGAAATGTTTTTAAATTGGACTAAAATTTGTGCAGAGGAATTATTATTCCTGGTTCATTTTAGAAGCAGCGCATGTGGCTTTAGTTTTCCCATGCAGCTAAGTGCTTTTATGAACAAGCTTGAAAGAGTAGTTCCACATTACGAAATGCAGTCCAACTATGGACCTAAGTACAAACCTCTCCTTATCTCATGTAACACAACTAATCCATCTTTCTTTCTGTAGTCGCTGCTGAAGACAGCCGACCAATTAAAAATCAAAGGATTGTGTGAAGTGCCTGAGCGTAGTAGCAAGGAAGGAACCCCCACAGCTGAAGTCACGCCTCTTCCGCCCGTGCAACAAAGCACCTCACCTATCAGAGGAAGGACTAAAATGCAAAGGAGGATGTCTGGCACAAAGAGGAGATTCAATGAACAGTATCCCAATAACATCAACAAGAGGACTTTTTACGGCAGGGAAAACAAGCCGCAACAAGTCCAGAGTCATCAGAGTCAAATTATTCAAACCTCGGTTACGGCAGATATGTTGGAGTCTAACACTGGCCATGATAACCAGGTTTGTTTCAGCAACCTACTCAAGGTTGGTGTAGACATATACTACTGAAAATTTATCATTTCGTATTAACATGTTCACTGTCACCTTAAGTCTGTTTGTCTGACTGTGAGCTGTTCCTTGAGTCCAGTCATCCTCTAAATGACAGGGAGTCCATAGGTCTGGAAAACCGGAAAATGCCAGGAAATTTCATCAGGTCAGGAAAATTAGGGAAAAGTAAAGGAATTTTTTGAAAGCCTGAAAATTTGAAAAATCTTGAGAATTGAAATCTGAAAAATACACTGAAGAAAAAGATAAAGTACAACAACGCTGCCCGCACAATCAATCTTTCTCTCAGTCTAGTTTGGAGCAATTCTCCAAGTCACATTCAAAATAGTGAATAGAGGAAACACTTTCAATCAGAAATTGACAGTTCAGATGATTCAATGATTAATGACCGAAGGGAAAATGTTCATATGTAACTGTCATTTGCAGGGAAATTTAAGAAATAAACAATTGTGTATTTTTAGTTCTTGCATAAAAATTTGCCTCAAGCAAAGTAAAAAAATGTTGATAATTTTGGTCAGGAATAACCTCAGAGTCAAGTCAGAGAAAGAAAATTTTTTTACGCCAAGTCTTCAGACACTTTGAAATGAGCTTTTATCTGTTATCATAATTTTTCAATTGACATGGTGTGTCTATCAAATTAATGAGTTCTTTGCTTAAAGAATTAATTTGTTGATGGGGTCTTCCGTCTCATTTTCTCCGTTCGGATGTAATGTATCATATCTGTTGGGCTCTCTCAAGGGGAACAGGAAAAATGTTTGTTGACAGTGGAAATGTTAAGATTAAAATGTTAAATTTTATTTATTCATTTATATTTACTTACACTCATCAAATTATATAAAGCAAAAAAACTAAAAAGATTACCAACAAATTGGGAAGAGCCAAAAAAAATTAAGGCTTCACAAGATTCAATAAAATTGCTGAGTATCTCCTATTTCAATGGAATTTACTGACTTTTCATCCCTTACTGAAAGAGACTCGTCAATTCTTTGGTACAATGTTTTGTCCAAATCACAGTGATATTAATTTCAACAAAAAATACGTCAATACATATTTCATCATTCATAGCTCCTAAATTTTTAACCTCAAATTTCAAAATTGAGATGGTGTCTCTTTGCATTTACGAAAGAAATCAAGTTCATGAAGTCAATACAGTGTTCAAAGAAGTGCAAGTGCAGCCACCTCAGTAAGAAATCAAATGTGAGGAAAAATCTAAAGCTATCATACTCTTGATACCAGTGTTCGAAACTCACCGTTGAGTTTTAGGAGCCAAGTGGTTCATCAAGCCCGATTTTTAGGCGCCATCGAAGATTTTTTAGGGGCCAAATTGACTTTTTGCCAATATATTACTGCGCATTTAGTGAAAAGTTAGATGCAAGATGTTTTCGTACCAGAACTAGTAAGTAGCTGTAACTTGGGGAAGACAAAAGCACAAAGGATGAAATCGTGAAGAATAGAAAAAGCTTTCACTTGTAGAGCTGAAAATTTTGAATCATCACCTGATATGAAAATTCAGATTTTTAGGGGGCAGTTTATAGGGGCCACGTTGGCGCAGAGCCTTCATTTTTTAGGCGCCATGGCCGATTTTTTAGGCACATTTGGCGCGTTGGCGCCTGTTAGTTTTGAACACTGCTTGATACACCACTTTTTACTGGAAATGCATACATGATTTCCAATAATTTGGCAAATCAGTTCCCATATGAACATCATCATCAATTGCATTTGATGCCTATTGATGGAACAGATTATGCTTTCTAATTGTCTGAATAATTATGCTGATGACTAGTCCATTTTGTTCATACATTTTGTAACTATGTGAACATTTTCAATGCATTACTATGACCATGTGTTTCCCTCTCTTTTCAGTTACCACCCATGACCAATTGTATGACTGTAGCCACATCAACTGAAGAAGAAAATGATTGCAAAAGCAACATTGAGCTGAACGTTCTGAATTTAGACCAACAGCCTCAATCTCAACAACCACCACAACCCGTGCTTCACGAAAATGGACATGGTACGCCGCATGCTACACCTCACGGAACTCCACATGGGACTCCACATGGAACACCGCATGGGACACCACATGGAACACCTCATGGAACGCCCCATGGCACTCCCCATTCACAGCATGAAAGTAGATTAGTTATGACGAGTCCTGCGCCAATCATGTCCACTACGCACACGCCTCCCACCAATATGCAACCTCATACGGTTTGTCTCATTGATTATACATATTACTCATCTTTATTGGAATGAGGGGGTCTCCCCTAGCTTATGTGCGGCCTAATCCGTTACGGTCTTTGCCCACCAAGGATTAAGTTGTAGCATTAGACAACCCTGGTCAAATTAAAAATTTGAAGAATTTATCCTCATTTGGTAATCATCATCAGCTTATGCCTAGAAAAATCATGACCATCAGCTTGGTAAATTTCTGAATTTAAGTAATATCTACAAAAAGTGAAAATTTGGAGTCAGAGAGCCTACAAAGATATAAAATGAAGTCTAACAGCTAGTGTCTTTAGAATTCCTCCAAGGATGCAGAAAATCATGTTGACAGTGGAGAGCTTGACTCATAATTGAGAAGTAAGGATCATCAGGGCTGTGTGTAATACTCAGTGATTTGAAACATTCTGCGCACCTGGCATCTGGCGTTCTCTTTCAATCCCAGCTGCCGAGTTTTTGTTTTCTCCCTCTGCTTATTTCACTGAGTGCTACTGTGACTATTGAAAGAAGCTTTTCCCAAAAAATCAATAGTGTGTTCGAAATACTTGATAATTCAATCATTTTTACTTATTCATTAGTTAAACCAAATATTTTTTAAACCATTTATAGTTTGTTTTGCTCTGAAAGTGAGTTTTTAGACTATATATAATTCATTTTGCTATTGAGCCAAGTGTCATAGCTTTGTTGTCTTTATCTGCCTTGTACAAGTATTGAATCCTGCCACTCATTTTGTATGGCAAGGAATTAATTTCAAAATATCCATAATTGTAAGAGTTTTAAAAATGAATTCCCATGAAAGGCGTCATATTTCCTACAAGCACTTTCTAATGCAAATTTCTTGTCAACAGCTTCAACCAATGACCAACTGTATGACGGTGGCTACATCAACAGACGAAGAAAATGACTGCAAGTCAAATATAGAGCTATCAGTTTTGTCGTTGGATAACCCTCAGCAAGGCCCCCAGCCACAACAACCACAACCTCAACAAGCGCAAGGAGTGCAACACGATTCAACATCTTTGATGTCTCTGGATGGGCAGGGGCCACAATCGCAGCAGCCAACGCCTCAACCAGTGCCGCACGATGATCAGAACCACAATCATGGTCATGGGCACTCAACACCTCAGCCTCAACCACAACTCCACTCGCAAGAAAACAGGGTGGTGATGACCAGCCCTGCTCTCATCATGTCAACCACACTTACCCCTCTGACAACCATCCAACCAACAGTAAGGCAATTGCACTTTTACCAGTTCTTTATTTTGATGCTTCCATTTGAGACTTTGAGGGTGCCAAGTATTGGAAAAAATATTAAGAAGTTGTAAATATGAAAATATTGGTTACCACACAAATATTTAGGAAATTTTTTTGATAAATCCTGAAACTAGACCACCAGACAAGGTACAAATTTTAGCATTCTAATGTTTGTTTGTTCTTTAACACGTTGACTGCCACGGTGTTTTAGGTACTTATTTCCCCCGGCGCCATAGCCTTTTTTTTTTGGTATTTTTTTGAGAATTGACTATATCAAACCTAAACTTCATAAACCTTCGTAATATTCTTTCAGCTTTCAGCCTGAAGCCGCCGGTCGTAACGACCGGTATGGCCTCCAGTGAAAAATAATGCACCGGAGGCCACGCCGGTCGTCCGGCCGGTCGTGTGTTCCTTGAGAATCGGCAACGTTGCGTGACTCGCGCGCAGTCAACCTACAACCTCGAACGGCATGGAATTACTGGTAAGGACTGGTAAAACTGGGTAGGAGACAAACCCAGATACCCCCTAACACCGAGTTTCAGGCGAATCCATCGGCAAAAAGTCGAGGTTGCCAATTGTTGACCATTTTGAACTTTAATCGGCGGCCATTTTGAAAAATTAGGGTTTGTTGAAAAATCCAACGTCGAATTCGTTCTTCTCGGGTCAAAATAC